CATGGAAAATGTCTATTAAAGGGATAGAATCTGTTTTCATTGCCAAATTTTTTTTTTTTTTTTTAATTTAAGTTGTCTTCCTCAAAAATCAAGAAAATGTGAACATGTGGGTGAAAGATGGAAAACCAATTTCATGAAAAATTTGGACGATCAAACATGTAAAAATGTGAAAAAATGGAATTTAATTTCCATCTTTCATGAAATTGAAGTGCAATCAAAGAGTCTAAGTGAAAATTTAACAAGGTAATTCAAATAAGAACAATCATATAAATCCATTTGTCAAATTGCATTTTAGTCGGTTGTCATATACGATCAATGAACAACCTTCAATCCAGTCGAATGTGAAAAGTCATCAGGTCGACCATGAAGGATCATCCAATCGGTGGTCCTTTGACAATTGCCAGCATGAGATGCACTCTCTAACATCACAAGGGGTACCTAAGAAGATTTATCAAATTACATATAGATTATTTTCAATAAAGTAATGATACACATGTAAAATGAGAATGATATCCATGAAAGGTAATATTAGATAATAAGATCAATAAAATGGGTCTTATATTCATAAATTTTATCGGTCTTATCATTTCATACAACATCGTATGAGGATCATCCTTAATTTGTACATATATCATTAGACTTCGTTTGATATTTTTGGATTCTAAAGGAACTCGTTTGATATTTTTTTTAACCTAATGTATTAATATTGTTGTTTTAGAACTAAGAAAATAGTATTATTAAATACAAAATTATATATATAAAAAAGAATAATCCTTATATTAAATAAGTATTCAAATAATTTTAATAATGAAAGGATGCATTATTTCGTGGAATATAATTGGTATTTTAATTATAGACAATGGAAAAGTTAAAAGCTTTAACATAAAACACTGCCGTTTTGTTGGTTCTAAAAATTGCTGTCAAATGACTATTATTAATAATTTTTTCATAAATTTGTCGAAAACCTATTATTATTATTTTTTCAATATTTCAAGTAATGAATCTTTTTTGAAATTTTACAATTAATTATGTCTATGGAAATATGTAGTCATGGCAATTGCCTACGAGCCCGGCTCGTGGCTCATTTGGAACTAGTAGAGCTTATACTCAGCTCCGCCCTCGAGCCATGAGCTCAAGGGTAGAGCCGAGTTTCGGTCCCCGAGCTCCTCTTTTTTTTTTTTTTAAAAAATAAAAAAAGATAAAACCCTTCTCTTTTATTTGGGGTTTCAAATCGACTACTTAAATTTCGAGTAGACGGAATTAAAAATTGTACATAAATAACTTGTTAAATGTACAATTTAAAAAAAAAAAAAAATTAAAAACAGTATTTTAAAATAATTTTTTTATTAATGTGGTTAGATTAAATATTACTTACCTGACGACATACAATTTTGGCATATTTATCTTGCAGTCGGAAATGAGCGTATTATCAATCGTTCATGCATATTAATACTTTCAAAATATCCTCTTTCAGTCGATTCCTGACCTCGAACTGTACTTTCTTATCTACACTAAACACAGACCCCGAAAACGCTTTAAGGATTCCATCTTGATTGAGATTTTAATTGAGAATTGTTGGCGAAGGACTAAATTTCTTGCTTTTGATTCTTTTATCCTTTCCTTTTGATTCCCAAAGTTCAGAATTTCTTGCTTTTTGATTCTGAAAAATTGCCAGGATGAGGGTGAGGGTGACGGGTGAGCGTGAGGGTGGGGTGGGATGGGATGGGGAGGGTGGACAATAATATATGATTATTTGAAATTTGAAATTGTATACATATTTATTGTTTAGGAGCAATAGTATAATACTTTTATAAGATATTAATTTTGTACAATGACGTTCTTTGAGAGCAATTAATATTCTACTGAAATATTAACAGAATTTAAAGTTGTGTTTTACTCAAGAAAAGCATTACAGTTTTATTCTTCTATTACTAGAGTTGTGAAATTACGTCTCTTCGAGAAAAACAGACTAAAACCAAATACTTGTATTAAGGATTTGCATCCAAATAATAAATTGACACATAATTAAATTGTCACGTAACATAATTGTGTATTTGAATAGATTTATATATTTTTAGGATGTTTTAGATGCATATATCATGTTTTTTCAGGATTAATAGTGTCATACTTTTTAGGGATATTAGAATACTAATTTTTATACAATTATATATCTTAAAGAGTATAATCATAATTATATCTTTTAGGATGTTTAGATGCATATATCATGTTTTTTTTTAGGAATAATGTCACATTCTTTAGGGATATTAGAATAATAATTTGTATACAATATCTTAAAGAGTACAATCATTTAAAAAAAAAGAGTATAAAGTTGTTCTTCTAAACAACTCAATATTTTTTTAGAATAATTGAATATTGGAAAACAAATTATACTTCTCCAAGAGCGTAAACATATTTATTAGAAATAGACTCGTACAAAGTTGTTATGTGAAACTAACCCAATATTTTTAGCGAGGATAAATTAGATGATATAAACATTTATGATTTATCTTTTTAACTTGTACAGAGGGATAAATCTTGTCAACATTGTTAGTGAGGACAAACCAATCGATATAAATAAAATGACCATGAGATTCGATAATTCAAGGAAGAATAGAAGGTCGAGCTTAGGTTTCTACATTCATGGTAGCATCTCTCAACTACGTTGAGATTCTTTTTTTTTTATCGATTACAATAAAATGTTGCTAATGAAGAGTGTCTGAGCGTGAACAAATTCAAGTCGAATCTAGACATCTCAAAAGAGGGAAAAAAAAGTATAGTCAGAGATATGTAGTAGGGTTCCTCAACTTTGGCACATGTTTTATCTATAATCGATCACATCACTTTTTATCCACAGATTTTGTGAAATTCTTAAATACAACCAAATTATTAATCACTCACTTTTATTTATTTTTAATTTAAAATAATTATAAACAACTCCTAAACACCCTTTAAATTGGTGCCCCAGCCCTATGTGAGGACCTAGTACCCAAGTATTCAAAGGACGGTTGAAAAGTCAAATTTTTTATTAAAATGATGATCATACCTTCGTTTGTAAAATAAACTTAAAAGTAAATAGAAAATATAACAAGCAAAAAAGATAAAAGAAAAGAAAAACAAATTAACAAAACAGTTCTATTACACGTACAGTGTGGTCAACAATTTTGTTGATGGTGTGTAAGGTGGTCAATACCATTAAATTTAACAACACTTAAAATAATCAATTGCACAAATTTTTACACCTCATTGGATGTCAAGAAAGTTGTGCATTTTTCATGTACAAATAACATAATTCTTAACAAAATACAACGAAGCAGTCTAAGCTTTTCTCCTGGACACTTTGTGTCATTACCACTTTCGGTTGCTTTTTGTTTGTCTTCAACCGTCAATAGTTTTTCCTCATCCCTTTTGCTCCCTATGTTTGTCCATGTCCTTCGGTTCTCCTGATTTGTTTTTTTAAATCCTTCAATGCAATAAGGAGTTTTTACGTTCGACCTTTAAGTGCCCATACAATCTTTTAACTTGTATTAGCCAAACAGTTTTGTAATATTCCTGCAATGACTTTCATTCGTGAACTGTTAACACTCCCTTAAAAATTCACGTCAAAAGTGCTTAAGCATTGTAGTCTTGTAATCGTGATAACAGAATAGATCAGGGCAAAGTGGGGTGCTTATTTTGTTCTTTTTAATTCCAAATGAAGGAGTAACGATCTTTTCAACTTATACTTTTGAGTTGTTTTTAATATGAACTAGATTGTCTCGTACAGTTGGAACTTAAATGTTATAATAGTGAAAGTTTGGACATTTAGACGCTCTATTTTAGAGGTTAGAGACCTAGAAAGAAAAACTTGAAACTGTAAATGAATGTGAAGACAAAACAAGTTCATCATTTCAAAAGGTGTCAAAAAGTAAAAAGGAAAAACATTGCTTAAATTGAAAGTCCGCTAAAAAAAATTAAATAGGTTTACTATAAAATTCGAATTGCCCAAAAAGTAATTAAGTTTTGAGGTTGAGAATCTTGTCCAACTTAAAATATTGTTGAAACATCACTTCATTGCTCTAGCCCCTTTTTGAGCCACGTTCTTATTCTTGTATTCATTTTTAACTACACATTTTTCATCAAAAAATTAATTTTTATCACATCAATGATTTTTCTTTCTTTTTCAATCACATATTCCCCATCATATTACAAAAAAATTGCATTCTCTTATAAAAAATATGCATCAAACACACAATTAGAAAACTCAGTACTCATCATTCATCAATCAAGGGGATAATTGGTAGAAATTTGTCGCTTAAGAATTATGTCACTGTCACACAAGTGATTCCATCAAAGCCAATGAACGAGTGATGGATGAAACATTTTTTCGGAAAAATATTGTTTTGAATATTGAATATTTGGAGAATGTGTGGTTAAAAAGTAGAAAATAATTTGAATTTAAGTGTAAAATATTTTATCGTGTTTGTGTAAATGCGTGGTAACAATGAATACGTAAAAAAAAGAATTGTGAAAAAATGGAAGATTAATAGTGGGCATAATTTTGAAGAAGTTCAAGGATGTTTGAGTGACTTTTTGAATTGACCCCTTTTTCTCGTTGTAGGGCTCATATATCAAAGAAATAATACAATTTATCATTATGATGATGTGATAATTTATATGAAATATGGAATTGGGCAATTCAATTTTTACAAAAGCCAAAGGAGAAAGAGACGCGAGACATAATGAATAGGTACATCGCCAATGTTCTAACATCATATCACAACTAGAAATAAGAAGTGGGTTAAAATTAGATTTTCAATACATTGTGGTAAAAAATTTTGAAATATGTGGTTGAAAAATTGTGAGACCTAAAACATGTGGTTAATATTAATTATTTTATTTTGACTTAAATTAAAATTAAATTTTAATCTGGAACATTCATGGCTTAAGCCTCTTCAACAGTATTGAACCTCACCTTACAAGAAGGCACGCGCAAAGGCTGAATAGCGTAGACCCACAGGGAGATGACGACGCTTCGAAGATTTTGCTGCGACGATCTCCTCCGATTCGCATCAGTGAATCTCGATCACCTCACTGAAACTGTAATTTCATTCTTTCCCCAATTATTAATGTTTTCTCAAATTTATATTTTTTCATATACAGATTTATTTGTAACTTTCCGTGAAAAAGATGTCAATTAATCAATGCATAATATTAATAATTGCAGTTTAACATGTCATTCTATATGACATACTTGGCGCGGTGGCCCGATTATTTCCATGTGGCTGAAGCTCCCGGCAACCGTATCATGGGTTACAGTAAGTTTCCCTATTTACGTAATTTTGCTTTCTGTTTCATACGTTTGATTTTATTTACTGAAAAAAAAAGAACCAATGAGTATTCTATATTTTTGTATTGTGAGTTTATTTTCTCTCTCTGTTGTTTCTATGGAAATAAATTTAGAATGATTGTTTTTTATTATTTGTAGCAAGTTTAGAGTTTTTTTTTTTTAATTTTGTTTTTTGGTGAGAACCTGTCCTTGAAACTTGAATAGAAAACTAACCTCCAAGTGCATGTAGGCATTCAATAGCTAACTTGCAATGTGCAGAATTTGAAAACTAGGAAAATAAGTTACAAAATCTGGATAGAATAATCAAATAAAACTCCAGCAAGATTTGGCCAAAATAGTAACAACCCAAATATAAGTTCAGAGTAGACATGGCACTTGACATAGTAAAGTAGAAGAAAACTTCAGCGACTTAACAATTCCATCTCCCTTAGAAATCAACATTGTCCTGAATGTGAAAGCGAGGAATTTTATCCTCCATAGCTGCAAAATCTCCCCAGGTAGTCTGCCGGGTGATAATTGTTACCAATGAACTATAGTCTGCCTTTTCTCTTCACCCAGAATTTCTTTCATTCTAGTTAGAGATCTTCATCATCTTTTCTTTTATAAGAGTAATCTTTTCTTCACCGAAACTACTTCAAAAAGGAGTGGCTTTAATAGGCATTCACCAACTAGTTTATAACATACTTTATCCAAGCTAACTACCACTCCGTTTTTTTGACTTTTAGTTGGTAAAGCATTGAAAATGTATCTATATGTTATGATTAGTTCCATAATTAAATTTAATTTCATTTAACTTGAATAACTTTCAAGATATATTTGTGAAAGTTTGATCGCAATCACAATTATTGGAGATATTGGTGATTAGGTCCTTATTAAGATGTGTGCACCTCATAATGTTCCTACTGGTATCTAAACTTTGTGTGATAACACGTCTGTGCATGTGACAAGTTAGGTTGTTTCACATTCTTGCATAAATTTATTATACTGTGTGGATTTTTTTAGGGGAATTTTGAAATTCTTTCACTGAAAAATCTTCTCCTCTTTTTTAATTTGGTCCCTGATTGGTGGGGATTGAAATCAGATTATTAGTAGATTTTGATAAAAGTTGATGAAATGTATGGTTAAAAAGTTGTGGGTCCCATGAAATATGTGATTAAAATTATTTGTTGACTTTGACTTAGATTAAAATCTAGATTTTAATCACTATCAAACATGAGCTTGGTATCACAGCGACAATGGACAACCTTTAGCTCAGCAATGGCATTCTGCATCTCCAGCTTCTTCTACTCCTTCAAATCCTTAATATCCCCAGCCTTTAGTCCTAGTGTCCTGCAATTGAATCAACCTATTACAATCAACTTGCCACTGTTTGCTTAAAGGATGGAAAGAGATCCTTTTCTGTCTTGGATTAGGAATTTCTCTTTCTTGCATTTCAGGAGGTTGTTAATATAACATATTGCTGAGATTGACGTCCCACTCCTTCGCCACGAAGGTTGTGAATTTCCATTTGGCCATATAAACGAGAATAGACATTTTGTTGCAGCTTCTTAAGCATAATGGAAATTCCTAACTTACCTGAGTAAATGTTTTCTCTCAAGCTCCATATGCATTCTCCATTGGTTGCCTTCCATTAGTGGCAAGTAGGAGTTTTCTTGCGATTATGTTAATGTGCCATGCTGATATGCTATGAAGCATTTACACGTATACAGACGTGGGACACGGATGTAACATGGACATGGGGCTAAACAAATTTTCAAAAGAGAGACACATCTTTTAAAACGTGCTTGTCCTGTCATTACTCAGTTGTGAACATGTACCTCATGTGTTAGAAATCAAAAAGTGTATTGGCCGAATCACTTGGCGCTTCAGACTCGTGTCTAAGGCATGTAGAAAGTGTTCCTCACTTGTCGGAAGATTTAGAAATATATAAATGTGACAAACTACTGGCCTTGTTAGACACATGTTCTGGAATGTGCGAGTGTCAAACATGGACACTACACCCCTAGAGGAGTGTTCGTGCTTTACATCTGAATATTATCGATAGAATAATCAACATATAATTATGTTTAGTGTATTTTCTGTTGTTTCCACAAAATCTCCACTCAAGGAGGGCCTAAGGCATGACATTGGTTTTGAAGAAAATAAAACAGATCCATGATCTGTGTGGGAGCTTGACAAAACTGCATGCTTCAAAAGATTGTTAACCTTTGTTTTGGTGTTTCTATAGTAAGAGCTAATTGGGACTCCTGGAATTGATTGTAAATATATTGTCCTCTTGAGGACCTAAAACATGGCATGACACTTGACTTGAAGAAATATATTGGATGGGATTTAGGACCTGTAGGAAGGTTCATGCTTAAAATGATTTTTAACCTTTGTTTAGTGTGTTACTTGTGGAACTCAGAAAAAATGTAGGAGTAAATGGTGACGGTTATGGATTAGATGAATAATCCCTATATTAAAGAGAGCAATGAACAACACGAAATAAGAAAAACGAAGTAAGAAAAACACATGATGTTACGTGCTTTACTTTCAATGTGAGATCTGCGTGCACCTGGTGCTGCTCCTCAATTGCACTACGTGGAAGAAGATAATTCCAATTTGTTGGACTCACTATGTGACACAAAATGAAGGCTTGTCCTAATACTCTTTACATAGGAAGAAAATATTAGTGGCTTCCTAATACATGTCGAATGTCCCAAAGTACCCCGAACCCCCGATTGACTTTATTGCAACGGTTGAACCACGGGCGAGGGGAAAAAGTGTACAATACATTAGTCTCCAAACAACCTACAATGATTAAGCATGAAAGTTATATTATATCATATATGTTCCTGCTTCCCTTTCTATCATTACTTCAAATTTCAGTTGTCGTCTATATCTTCTGATAATATATGGTAATTTCATTTAACTTGAATAACTTTCAAGATATATTTGTGAAAGTTTGATCGGAATCACATATTGGAGATATTGGTGATTAGGTCCTTATTAAGATGTGTACACCTCATAATGTTCCTATTGGTATCTAAGCTTTTTGTTATAACACGTCTGTGCATCTGACAAGTTAGGTTGTTTCACTTTCTTGCATAAATTTATTATACTGTATGGATTTTTTGAGTGGAATTTAAAAATTCTTTCACTGAAAAATCTTCTCCTCTTTTTTAATTTGGTCCCTGATTGGTGGGCATTAAAATCAGATTATTTGTAGATTTTGATAAAGTTGATGAAATGTGTGGTTAAAATGTTGTGGGTCCATGAAATATGTTATTAAAATTATTTGTTGAGTTTGATTTAGATTTTAATCACTATCAAACATGAGCTTGGTATCAGAGCGACAATGGACAACCGTTAGCTCAGCAATGGCATTCTGCATCTCAAACTCCTTCTACTCCTTCAAATCCTTAATATCCCCAGCCTTTAGTCCTAGTGTCCTGCAATTGAATCAACCTATTACAATCAACTTGCCGTTGTTCACTTAAAGGATGGAAAGAGATCTTTTTCTGTCTTGGATTAGGAATTTCTCTTTCTTGCATTTCAGGAGGTTGTTAATATAACATATTGCTGAGATTCACATCCCACTCCTTCGCCACGAAGATTGTGAATTTCCCTTTGGCCATATAAATGAGAATAGACATTTCGTTGCAGCCTCTCAAGCGTAATGGAAATTCCTAACTTACCTGAGTAATTGATTTCTCTCAAGCTTTATCTGCATTCTCCCTTGTTTGCCTTCCATTAGTGGCAAGTATGAGTTTTCTTGTAATTATGTTAATGTGCCATGCTGATATGCTATGAAACATTTACGTGTATACAGACGTGGGACACGGATGTAACACGGACATGGGGGTAAACAAATTTTCAAAAGAGACACACACATCTTTTAAAACGTGCTTGTCTATCATTACTCAGTTGTGAACATGTACCTCGTGTTAAAAATCAGAAAGTGTATTGGCCAAACCACTCGGCGCGTCGACTCGTGTCTAAGGCACGTAGAAAGTGTTCCTCTCTTGTCGGAAGATTTAGAACTATATAAACGTGACAAGCTACTGGCCTTGTTAGACACATGTTCTGGAACGTGCGAGTGTCAAACATGGACACTAAACCCCTAGAGGAGTGTCCGTGCATTACATCTGAATATTGTCGATAGATTAACATTGATGCAGAGAATCGACATATAATTATGTTTAGTGTATTTTCTGTTGTTTCCCAAACTTTAGATCTAGAGGATTTCAGAAAACAAAATCTCCACTTAAGGAAGGCCTAAGGCATAGCATTGGTTTTGAAGAAACTAAAACAGATCCATGATCTATGTGAGACCTTGACACAACTGCATGCTTCAAAAGATTGTTAACCTTTGTTTTAGTGTTTCCATAGTAAGAGCTAATTGGGACTCCTCGAATTGATTGTAAATATATTGTCCTCTTGAGGGCCTAAAACATGGCATGACACTTGCCTTGAAGAAATATATAGGATGGGATTTAGGACCTGTAGGAAGTTTGCATGCTTAAAATGATTTTTAACCTTTGTTTAGTGTTTTACTTGTGGAACTCGAAAAATGTAGGAGTAAATGGTGACGGTTATGGATTAGATGAATAATCCCTATATTAAAGAGAGCACCGACCAACACGAAATAAGAAAAAATGAAGTAAGAAAAACTCATGATTAGGTGCTTTACTTTCAATGTGAGTTCTGCGTGCACAGGGTGCTGCTCTTCAATTGCACTACGTGGAAGAAGATAATTCCAATTTATTGGACTCACTACGTGACACAAAATGAAGGCTTGTCCTAATACTCTTTACATAGGAAGAAGATATTAAGGCTTCCTAATACATGTCGAATGTCCCAAAGTACCCCGAACCCCCGCTTGACTTTATCGCGATGGTCGAACCGCAGGCGAGGGGAAAAAGTGTACAATACATTAGTCTCCACACAACCTACGGTGATGAAGCATGAAAGTTATATCATATATGTTCCTGCTTCCCTTTCTATCATTACTTCAAATTTTAGTTGTCTATATCTTCTGATAATATATGGGATAATGTCATAATGCTTTGATGTACTTTCAGTCATGGGAAAAGTCGAAGGACAAGGGGAGTCATGGCATGGTCATGTCACTGCAGTAACTGTAGCTCCTGAATTTCGCAGGCAACAATTGGCCAAGAAACTCATGAACCTGCTTGAGGACATCAGTGACAAGATGTAAGTGGACATAGTTTTGATGAGTGAAATTGTGCTCGCTTCAGGGTTTAATTCATAGAAACAAAATTAGATTTGAGATTTAATGGTACAATCAGTTGGAAAATAAAATGTGATCCAACATTTTTTAACACTGAACTCCTGGATTTTACATTGCTTTAGAAGCTTTTCGTGTGGTCCTTTTACCAATTTTTATATCCTGAGATTCCATAGATTACACCCGAAGTTCTTCATAATAACATTTATAGTCCTTTGCATATTAACTGTTGATATGCATTGCTGGATGAACTCCATGTCCTAAAGCGTGCTTCATTTTTGTAGTGACAAGGCTTATTTTGTCGATCTTTTCGTAAGAGCTTCAAATACACCTGCTATCAAGATGTATGAAAAGGTGATATTTTGTAATTTCTGCTAGTTATGCTCTGTATAATATGCATCTATAACATATTTTCTTCTAGAATGTGAATCGAGTAAGCATGCTCATTTCTCTGCTTTGTCCTTTCAGCTTGGCTATATAGTTTATAGACGGGTACTACGCTATTACTCTGGAGAAGAGGATGGGTTGGGTGAGTTGCTGCATATGTCTACAAGTTTATTATTTTGCTTCACAAAATGTAGTTTTTTGATGTCTCTTTCTTTGTTTTTCGGTTTATTTCTCAGATATGAGGAAAGCTTTATCTCGGGACGTAGAAAAGAAGTCTGTTATTCCTCTCAAGCGGCCAATTACTCCGGACGAGTTGGAATATGATTAAATCTGCTTTTCTTGATTTGAAAGCACATGCCATGGATATGTTAGGTATAACATTTTGCAACCACAACCTAAAAGAGTCTAGGTCACTAGAAATCAACAAAATTTTTGTCATATGGAAACACAACTTTTCAATTTAAACAAGTTGGACTGTTTTAACTACTCTTGCACTACTCCCCGTTAAGTTCCTCGACAATGTTTACCAACTTCAAATTTTACTAGTTAGAAGTTAGAACGCTAGAAATCTTGGACATAATGGATGAATTAAGGTAAATGTGTCTCTATTTGTGACAGCTATGGTATTGTGGACTGGATGGACCAAAATAATAATAATAATAATAATAAAATTAAATCTTACATATTCTCCTCTTCGATCCAATACTATGTACTAGATATACACTTTAACACCTTGTAAGATATAACACTTGTTTGATCCTCATTATTTTTAAAATATATTTTTCCTCTTTTCTTTTCAATCAAACATTATTCAATAAAATAATGTTATACGCATATTCAAAACTTTTCCTTATTTTTTAATGGAACAATACACAATTTCTACATATAAAAATCACATTTTAAAACTAACAGACTTGTCAATTTATTTCAAAATTCAGGTGTTAATTCCAAAGGATAATATACGTAACAAATAATTAATTGGAATTAATTATCCGCACACCACCCTCACCAAATTAATAATATATCAGTTAAGACCCGCCCACCCTAACCCACTTACATCACCTGTGAAAAATTTAGTGCTATGTGTACACAATGGAGTACACAAAGTTTTACACCACACTCACATGGAGGGGGCCTGCACACAATAAAATATTTGTGGGCTCCCTTTCATGAGAGGGGAATGTAAAACTTTGTGTACACCCATAGCATTTTCCTCTGAGATAACACTCCTCATTGGAACCACCCCCACCTTACCCTTACCTTTACCCATGCATACCCACCCCCAACCTCTAGAAAATATGGCTTATCATTTTAAAGCATAAAAATAAAATATTTTGATATAAATTATCATCAATGATGAAAAATATTAATTAATGGAGGGTTAAAGATAAAAATTCGAACAAAAAAGTTCAGAAAATTATTGCTACAATAAGTAAAAATTGAGAAGTTGAATTGCATCTAAAATATGGTGCCTCAAATAAAAGTTGTGGTGACAATATAATCGCACATGACAAAATAAGCTTCCATTACAAATTTATAAATGCTTTATAAATTCAGTTAAAATCAAGCATTGCTTTTAACATTATTTTCATAATTACTACTCATTATTATCTACGATTGAAACCAATATTATTTCTCCTTATACACAATTTATAAATTTGCGAAACGAAGGCTAAGTAGCTTAGTTATTTTAAACTTTAACAAACAAAAAATGTAGTTTATGCCAAAACAAACTTATTTACTTATAAGTAAACTTCTTATTGTTGACCAAACATGCTCTTTAGGTTTTTTACTACTATAGAATAAAGAAAGGGGGGAATAATGCAAATACAAAGATTAGGTACATTACGTTTTGAACATTTTAAGTGACAATTATGAGAGACAGTTTCAACCAACGATCCGATAACCGAATTGGGTAGATAATTAAATTGGGTCATATGACCAAAAACTTTCACGTTTATTGAGAATCTATTCATGCATTGATTGTGAGCCAAATAACATGCTCTGCACCCACCCTGCAAAAACGGTTATAGAGTGACCCTCGCACGAATATTTCCATTCACCTTTTTTCTCTATGATATATCTCCCAGAAACACCTCTCTTTTTTCCTGTATTTCAAGTTTGAATCATGGGTTTTGTGAAAATGAAAATATTTTTCTGCTCATTAATGGCGGTTTTTGGATTTTGTTTGGGTTCTGTTTACAAAGTTGGTGATTCTGCTGGCTGGACTATCATTGGAAATGTTGATTATAATACATGGGCTTCTTCTAAGACCTTTCAAATCGGCGACACTCTCAGTAAGTTAATTATCATCTTCACAAATCTTACTATTTTAATTGTTAAATAATCCAATGTTTGGTGAATATGAATGGGAAAATTCTGATGCTGCTAACATATACAAAATGATACAATTTAGAATGTATTTTTCTTGTTTACTCATTCAAATGGTGACTTCAACAGTTGCAAGTTTCAACTTATACAGGGCATTTAACAAAGTATTTCCCACCAATTATCTCTCCTTGTACATTTGTCTTTAGACTAATTGATCTACTAACAGGAGAAGAAAAATACGGTGTTTTGCTTTTGTGCAGTTTTCAATTACGATGCTAAATTTCACAATGTGCTGCAAGTTACCCTCCCGGATTTCCACTCTTGCAACTCTTCTTCGCCTATGGCCACCTACTCGACTGGCAATGACTCGATAACTATCACGAGCCCCGGCCACTACTACTATACATGTGGCTTTGTTGGCCACTGCGAGGCAGGACAGAAGCTCGATATAAGAGTGCTCAAGTCTCTTCAGCCAACTGCAATGCCAGTTTCAAGCCCAATTCGAGCTCCTCCTAGCCACACAGCAGTACCTGAGACCTCTCCAAGTGGGTCAGTTACACCCAGCCCATCGCATAATAGAGCAGAGTCTCTCCTGCCCTTCAAGTTTTGTAGCAAGATTGTGTTGTGTTTGTTTGTTTGTTTCTGGGCTTTATATTAATGTGTTTCTTTGATTGAGGTGATCATCTTGTTTTTTCGTCATTGTAGCAGTCTTTTAGTATGTTCAGTTTAGCTTTGCCCGGATGATGATAGTTCTTGGAACCATGTGATTTTGGAAACTTTGATATATTTTCGCTTAGTAGTCTTTTTAATTTATCAAAATATTTAGATTTACATCTAGGGGCTGGACATGGTCCGATTCGTCTTCAAAATTGGATTTAATCGAACCAAAATTTTCGGGTATTTAATAAAGTGGAAATTACATGAATTAAGTGTTTTCAAGATCACAATTCAAATTTAAGAGTTATAAGTTTTTGTTTCAAAAATCAGATATAATTAAAATTGTAAATATTAATAATAATATTATAAAAATTATTTTGCATATCCACCCCACTACCATCTATCTTACCAAACCCTAATTATTTCACGATCTCTTCTTTCTCTATGTACAACCACAATCCCCTTTTCTCTCTCCCACCCATGTTCTCTCTCCCAATCTCCTCTTTCTCTATCTACACAATGGCTGAGCGACAACCATGAGTGTGACCGGAGAGATAGCAACGAGCGCCGCTCAGTCGTTGTGTGACAATGCAAGCGAGGTGTGGCTATGGGTGGTGTTGCTTCCTGTGTGAAACCAGTGAGAGCTGACACGCGCCACAGGTGAGACCATATGTAGTTCAGCCCACTGACACTTGCTTCTTACTCCTTTGTTGATTGAGCCTTGTCGCACGTCATGGTTGAGATCTGCTGCGCATCGTGGCCAAGATCTGCAGCTCCGTGATCTAATGTAGGTTTTTGGGTGTGTTTTCAGTTGATGGGTAAGGGTTATGGTGGTGGTGTTTGGGTGGCGGTGACTTTGTTAGATCCAATGGTGGCAAAGGTTATGTTAGATAGGTGGTGGCTGTGATTTTGTTGGTGACGGTGGTGGTGGTGAAGGTGATGATGTTGGTTGCGGACTTGCGGTGTTTGAGATTGTGGTTTTGCTGCTAAGAGATGGTGGTGGTTATGGTGTCAGCGGATTCAACAGCATGATGAGGTGGTAGTCACAAGTGTTGGTGGTCGTCACAAATGTTTTGGTTGATTGTGACCAATGAGTTGGTTAATGTGTGACCAATATAAACAATATGACTAATGAAATAGATAAATTGTGACCTAAATTTTTTTTTCTGTGATCAATTGATTTGATAATTTTTAAACATGAAATAAATTGTGACTTATAAAATTTTATGATTTGTGACCAAAGAATAATATATGATCTATTAATTTGATAAATTTGTGACCTATAAAATTTTCAATTGTGACCGAAAAATTATTTAACCAATTAATTCGATAATTTGTGACCAAATTGTATATAATTGTGACATTATATTTTAATTTTATAAAATATATATTTAATTAATTATTTCAGAAATAAAATTTAATAAATATCTGATTTTTGAAATTTTAATCATTTTATCTTAATTTTGAAATGAATTATACTTAAAACTGTTATTTATGAGTTTTGTCCCTTTAGAAAATCATAACAATAATTGTTGCAATTATAAAGTAAAGTTTCAAAATTTTAGAGGCACGAGGACGAGGTTGGAAGAATATATGGGTTCCGGAATGTCAATTATTATTCACAAAGTCCCAAATATTCATTTTATAATAAATCACCCAGTACTAGATTTAATCCCAATATAATTGAGTCTTGAATCATATATCGTATAAAATTAAAAATTATTTTTTATTCATTCACAGTCAAACATTAATTTCAATCACATATTCACAAATACTGTCCATTCATTAATCATATATTTTATGGTACTCAAAATTAATCCTTCTAAAAAGATACTAATAATTTTATACCAACACATTCATTTGTTTGGGAATATTTATAAATTATTCATAAATGATCAATCTTCATATTCAATCACACAAACCAAATTTTTAAAGACACAAGTATGTGTGTGTGTATCATTGTCGCTTGGCCGGCACTTATAACTTTGGCAACAAGAATCATATTCGATAATATATATGCGACATTAGTAAAAGCTGGCATCCTTAAATCTTGTACTATTCTCCATTGTTTCATCTACAATACTGTTCTAATGGCTGAGAAGAGTAAAGAAAAAGAGCTCTCTGAGGAATCACCTATGGAGCCATTAAACATAACAGGTAATACTTATCCACTTATTCAAGATTATTGCCTTTTGTGTGATGAAACTCGAAATTTTTTGCTTCGACTCACTCGCCCTCTAATTTCTGACTAGTTTTTGCACGAAAATTTCTAACGGTTTTAGTTTTTAAATGAAGCTATTCATCTGCTACTAGTGTTTTTAACCCGTCTTAATTCTATGCATTAAATCAAAGCCAGGTTATCTTACAATTTGGAGTTTTTGGTGTTTCTAAGGTTTCCCCGGACGTGTAACTGGGAAAACATCATGGGCTGAGGTTGTGGGGCTGACAGCAGAGGAAGCAGAAAGAAAGATAAAGGAAGAGATGGCTGGGGTTCAGATTCAGGTAGTTCCACAGGATGCTTTTGTAACCATGGATTACCGGTCGAACCGAGTTCGTATTTTTGTTGATTCCTCTGGAAAAGTTACTAATCCGCCAAGGATTGGTTAATATTTTATCAGCTCTCTCACAGAACTAAACTATGTAATCTTGTGATTAAGAAATAATGATGTATCAAAAAAATGCTCTACGCTGCTGCTTTATTTGAGAAATAATCACTTTAATACTTTACGGAAAAAGTAATGGTTTGAAAGACGTAGGCACGTACTAAACCACGTAGATTCTTGTCATTGTCTATTTATATTTTGCTTAGATCTCAATTTAGGACTATTGGCCGATCTACAAGACTCGTTCTGATCGAACTCACCTTCCATTTTTTGGTCGACAATATCAAGAATCCTACCTTCTCTCCATTTGTCCCACACCTAATCAAAACTAACTCCTCTGGTCCTTCCTCGGGTTCAATTGGCCTACGCCCACAAGCAACAGAGCACCAAAGGAAAACACATCAGACCTTTTAGTGTCTCGTCCTGTCCTAGGAAATTCGAGTGCAAGGTACCCCTATAATTTTGCCAGTCCGAAAACTCCAAATTGTCCATTCAATTCACTATCTGGCAACACGGTGCTGGCCTTAACATGTCTCTGTATTACAATCTGTTTTTATTCTTCATGCAAATATGAAAGCCCCCAACCAACACCTTTGATCAGCTTGAACCTCAGTTCCCAACTCATTAAAGATTTAATTGACAAAACAAGAACTTATCTAAACTTCCTTTGGGCATGAAATCATAAACAGGTAGAAGATCACCACCACGTCTGCACCATCCCAATAATTGAACTAAATTTCTATGGCGAATCCGACCTATACTGGAAATTCAGAAACATATTCACTGCAAACCCTGTCTTGATTCTTGTGAGATACACTTTACAGCAACCTGGATCCTTGGATTAGGTAGTATCTCCTTGTAAACACGACCAAGTCCACCATTACCCTTGAAACAGCAAATAAGATTGAACTCAAGGTAAAAACAACTGCCAGCACTGAGAGACCTACAATTAGGCTTGCATTTTTCTTTTTCGTTCCTGGAACTGATGGGAAAAGATCGAAGTCCAACGACTTGGCTTTTCCATTTATTTTCAAGCTCCAGACTAAAAGGTAATGGGAACTTGCTAGCAACCCTGCTGAAGCAGAAATTTCAACGTACGTATTTTCTTCGACGATTGGAGAGAGATCCACTGGGTAAGACAAGACAGGCATTTTAGGCTTTGAAGACGAAGGTGAAAGAGTAACATTCATAATGTTTGTAACCGAATCATACTCCATATATCTGCCTACATGGTTGTGATTATACTAAAGAAAATACTTAAAAAAAAGTGTTATTTCATCCCCATTTTTTGTTCAAAACATAAGGATAGAAATCTGGTTTAAGATGGAATATCAGGGATTTGGGTTTGGATCACTTTTCTGTTGTCCACGTAGGATGCTTGCCAGTCATTTTGGACAGAATTGGATTCTGGGACTAATGGGGTTCACGGCTTAAAATTAAGGGATTAACGAAGTTCCATTTTAAAGTTTGAGAACTTTTTTTGCACTGTGTAAATTCTGGGGACCATTTTGGTTTTACTCCCAGCGTTTATAGTCAGAAATTGAAGCCGATTGTCTTAGGATCGAAACAGCGATCTGGTTCAAAGAGAGTTGAAATATGGATATTTGATTCAGCAATGTAGGATACTGATTTAAATTATGAAGTTGGAGAAAGGTTTTTCTTAAATTTAAATTTTGGAGAAACTAATTCCACTTTTGCTCCTTTCCAATAAAGATAATTATACATTTTAAACAGTTAAGGAAATCCAGAAATTATTTGTAGAAAGTTCCATTGTTGATGGCATCCTCATT